TTCAATAAGGAAGGAACTGAAATTAATCCCACAAGCATCACTACATCACAAGCGTAAAGAGGAAAGGAAGGAAGGAAGATGCCCATGTCGCCTTAACTATTTCTCTTACAATGGGTTTTCGGGGTTCTTCTGTACAACGTGTTGTTGCATCTTTGTGGACTCCTAAGAAAATTTAGACCTAATCGCTTTTTAAAACTCTGTCGCGTTTCCTTCCTTAAAACATTTCCCTTCTCCCTCCTAAATACTGTAGATCTGGCAGTGAGTGCATTCACACCCAGGCACACCTACACCTACCGTACTTCCCATACTTTGGAGCCTCTCTTCCGATGCTCCCACATAAAGCCATTTTCTATCGTTTTGTGGGCCAAGCCTGGTGCTTCCCCTCCCCCCAGACCCAGATTACCACAAGCAGGGCCAGCCCTGTCTTTAGCTGTGCTATGATGATTGCCTCAGATGGTGCAGTGCTAGGGATGATGATTATGAAGAAGTTGCTATTGCCATCCACTTATCCCTACTAGAACTGGACCCAGAGAAGAAACGTGTTTTGTCATTTTCTGCCATTGCCCACTTCATCATTTTCTTCCCTGTGGCTATTGTGGGAGCAGGGGCAGCCGAGCAGAACCAATGTCTAGGGCACTGGTTCTTAACCTTGGGTTACTCAGGAGTTTTGGACTGCAACTCCCAGAAGCCTTCTCCACCTGCTGTGCTGACTGGGGTTTCTGGGAGTTGCAGTTCAAAAGCATCTGAGTAACAAAGGTTAAGAACCACTGGTCTAGGGCAGGGGCAGCACTTCTTCCCTTCCTCTGGTGGCAGGAAAACTTGTGTCCCCCCCCCCCCGAATCTAGGACAAAATCACTAGCCTGCACCCAGGTCTTCTCTACCTTGCCTGTGCTTCACCTTCACAGAGAGTCACACAGCAAAGTTCTATTTTACAAGTCATGAAGCACATGGATGTGCTTTCCAGTTATATTTTCAGGCCCATCTACCTGCTTACTTACTAGGGTTGCTAGCGTCCATTAAATTCCTGCTTTGTTTCACATTCTTTAGTTCTAAATAATACATCTTAATGCCTTTTTGGAAATCTTTGTCTCTCTAGCATCTTTCTTTCCCTAAGCAGTGCATGTTTTCGGTTTGCCAAGTAACTCAAAGTTTAAAAGTTGTGTTACAATCCTTTCCCATAGAAGAGATAGCCCAAAATTAAAAACTTGGACATTGCTAGCAAATTGACTGTAACCCACTGAGAACAATTTCATAAACCTCAGACTGCTTTAAGACACTTGGTTGTATAAAGACAACAACTGTTAGATTTCAAGTAGTCAAACAGTAACATACCTTCCAACTCACGTCTTCTTGCTGCCTTCTTTCGGACAAAGTAAACAATCAGAGCCACAAAGATAATAAGGAGAACCCCTCCTCCAATCAGCAGTAAGTAAATCATATATTTTGAGAGAGAGCCTGAAAGGTGGACAAGGAAACAATCAATCAGGGCATAGATAGACAGACAGACAGACAGACAGACAGACAGACAGACAGACAGACAGACAGACAGACAGACAGACAGACAGATAGATAGATAGATAGATAGATAGATAGATAGATAGATAGATAGATAGATAGATAGATAGATAGATAGATAGATAGATAGATAGATAGATAGATAGATAGATAGATAGATAGATAGATAGATAGAGGAAAAGATTAAGGAAGCTACAATGTAACAAGTGAATGTTCTCAGCCAAACAATTTTGTATGTTTTATTTTTATATGTCAGCTTTGTAAATAAAGTGTTCCATTCCTGTTTAACTATTGCCTGAGTAGGGGGACTTAGTACGTTTATAGCCATACACCTATAAAGCTGAGGACCCATGCCATGCTATCCTTGTACTATGAGAATAAAGGTGTGGTTCCTTTATTCTCAAAATGATTCCGAGAAAAGAAATAATTGAGGCCAGAGGAGACAAGGGGAATAAAAGCAGCTTTCTGCCAATCATAATTAGCTGCATTCTGTTTTTTTTTAATTTGCTTGTGACTGCTTTGTGTGACTTTTTAGTGTTTTTCTCCATCCTCCCCAGCTTTTGTGGTTGATCTGCTTCACAGCATAATCTTAAACTACATGTGCCGCAGTTTCCTGTATATGTGGTATGACTTGCTTGTGGGTGAAGACAAGGAATGGCTTTTGTATTCTTTGAAGATGGTTGACTATTGTTATAATTCCATGATGATGAGGATGAGGATGAGGATGAGGATGATGACCCTGTGCTTTGAAGGTGTTACCTTTGGCCCATTTCTCCTTTGTGCCATGTACTGCTTTGTTGTAAAAAATGTCCCTTTCATCCAGGGACACCGATTGCTTTGTCGTCATGATCCAAAGTGCAGGTGCACACATTTCTTGTTTCTGTGGTGTGGCTTGCTGGCTGCTGTGGATTCTAAAAGCTGGTTCTGTATTGTTACTGTGTGCATTTATTTTAGAAACACACAAACATGCATAATTTTTAAAAAATCAGCATCCCTCATGATTGTTGTTGAGGAACTATCAGACATGGACTCAAAGCACCCCTTAACTCTGTCGTTGTAAAGAGCCCCAAACACTTCCTTGTATGGTTTGGCCATATGCCTCAGGGTTTTTCTTTGTGAAACTGGTTTCTGATGAAGCCTTTTCCTTGTATTTAATTTTTCAAAAATGGGCCCTATAGTGTAACACTTTATTGACACTTTTGCTCTGTGTTTTAGCATGCCAAGTATGCTAAAACATGTTTTAGCATGCCAAGTATGACCTTTGCCATAAGATTGTTCCTCTCTCCACACCCTTCCCTTGCCAGGGTTTTTCTTTGTGAAACTGGTTTCTGATGAAGCCTTTTCCTTGTATTTAATTTTTCAAAAATGGGCCCTATAGTGTAACACTTTATTGACACTTTTGCTCTGTGTTTTAGCATGCCAAGTATGCTAAAACATGTTTTAGCATGCCAAGTATGACCTTTGCCATAAGATGGTTCCTCTCCCCACACCCTTCCCTTGCAACATATGGGGTTCAATAACAGACCAAATGTGGCTGGCCACACCACTGATGACCCCTCAGGTCAGCGTCTGGACACCTGCCCCTATGCCCCCCCTACTCTACTGGGTGCCAGCTGCCACTGACTGGGTAAGCCCGAACAGTCAGCAGAGACCAGAAGGAGGGATGCAAGATTTATCCAGAGTCCTGCTGACATCTCAGTGACATCGCCACTGATGTCAAACACTCTTTGGAGAAAGTACACTTTCTCTTCCTTACCCAAGAGGCAGTTTAGCAACACAGATTTCTACCTGTTCCGGGACAGTTGATTTCATTCTCCGCATATTGCTTGTCTATCTGGTGCCTGACAACCTCACACTTGAATTTCCCAGAAAGATTTTTGGGTTGGGATGTCACCCTCCAGGTTCCATTGACATACTTTGGTCCCTGAAATGTTCTCATCTTATTATTTTGATGCAAAATAAATTTGAGGCTTTGGTTTTCATCAGATTTCACTTCACAGACCACTGTGTTGTTGGAGCAGTCCTTGATTAACTGTGGCTGAGGCAAAGGTTCTGAAAGAGAGAAAAGAAGAAAAGGAACAGACTATAAGAGTGGCTCTAGTTAAAATCACACCTTTATCAAAAGACCTGGAGCTGTTTCAGGAATAATATTAGGTCTTATCAAAGTACAAGACAATGAAGATTGATAAAAAAGATGAGGCATCTCGTGAAACAGCTAGGTATAAAACATATGCACAAGCATACACCCCTAATGACTGTTGTAGGTTTTCCGGGCTGTTTGGCCATGTTCTAGAGGTTTTTCTTCCTAACATTTCTACAGTCTTGGTGGCCGGAATCTTCAGAGGACAGGAGCTAGAACTCTCTCTGTGTTCTGGTGGAATGCGTGGTATAGTTGAGTATTTGCAGCTGTGGGATCAGGTTTTTGTTCTTTTCAGGAGACTGGGTGATTACTGTGATCAGGGTGTTTTTGGTTATGGGTGTATTGTTGTGATAAGGGGGGAGATGATCTGTCACTGTGATTGATGGGTGTCATTAGCTTGTCTTTTCTGTGCAAGGCATTAGGAAGAAAAACCTCCATAAAATGGCCAAACACTCCAAAAAACCTACAGAAACCATTAGATCCCAGCCATGAAAGCCTTCAAGAATATGCACATCCCTCAGTTTGATATTTTAGCACAAAAAATGAAACTGAGGAGGCAATTATACCAAACAATTACCCGCAATTTGCAACAGAATAAGCATTCTCCCCAAACAGTTTTTTAAAAATTATTTGCCACTTTAAGGTATAAATGAACTTGTTAAAAGAAAAATGTTTCTGGAGGTAGGACCAAGGATTGGATGTGGCTTTTTAAGGTCCTGAGGTTGGCATGTGCAGCCTCCAGAACTCTGAAACAGCCCACTCTAGATTAATGGGTGTATGGGGTCTTCCAATCTCCTCATCTCTCTCCTTCGGCTCCTTCTCTCCTTACAGCTCTGCCTACGTCATCTTCTGATGCAGCAAGCAATCTGACTTAACCCCACCCATGTTGCCTGCTTCACCTGTGATCTTCTCAGCAAAGGTATTTTCAAGGGATAGCTCCACTCCAGAAACATTCTTCTTTTAAAAAAAAAAAAAGTATTTCTGCATTAGAATGGCAAAGAATTGTTTTAAAGATCATTTGGGAGATCGGGGAGTCCCTCAGTGGGTGGGGAACCTGAAAAGATAGCAAAATTGCAACTCCATGTTCCCAAGAGGACAAAGGGGGATTTTATGGGTGAGCAGTGGTTTTTAGGAGCTCCATCACTTCCCAGAAGTGGGGCATTTCGGCTTGCATGGTGCAGCTATGAGACAGGCAGGCGAGTTGGCAGGCTGACTCCAGGGTGACCGGGCAAGTGAGTAAGGAGGGCAGGAAAGTGAAAGCAAGATTTTCTGCTCCTGTCAGAGGTGTTCACAAATGTAGAATCAATTCCGATGAATTGATTCCATATCCGCTTCATAATAAACATATTTCTGAAGGAAACTTCTCCTGGCACATTACTTTGCACAAGCACATCTCTCACATATATGCCTAAATCTGAGTTTGGTTTCTTTTTTGCAGAAAGAGAGGCATTTATTGTCAATGAGATCAGGCTCTCAGATTCACAGTCTGGGTGTTTTTCCTGGATATTGTCCTGTTCAGGATGCCAAGATTTGATAAGGGACAAGTGTGTGTTGAGTCTGACTGACCACCTATGGTCCTTCCTGAACACAGTGCAGTGGTTCCCAGCCTTGGGTAACCCAGAAACCCCAGTCAACACAGATGGTGGTGAAGGCTTCGAGGAATTGCAGTCCTAGTAGTTCTAGTTATAGTAGTTCTACTAGGAGTTCTAGTAATGATATATAAAACTCAGTTAGCCATGGGGTGAAGCTATTTGAATATGAACAGGTTCAGAGGAGAGCAAGAAGGATCATTAGGGGGCTGGAAATGAAGCCCTATGAGGTATGACTGAAATAACTGGGTATGTTTAGCTTTGAGAAAATAAGACAGAGGGGAGTAATGATAGCACTTTTATGATAGCACAATGCGCTCAAGTTACAGGAAGTGAGATTTCAGTTGAATATCAGGAAAAACATCCAAAATGTTAGAGCAGTATGGCAATGGAACCATCAAAAGGTGGTGAAGGCTCCAAAACTGGAGGCATTCAAGAGAAATTGAGAAAACAACTTGGCATATATCCTGGCATATTCTTGCATTCAGCAGGGGCTTGGACTCGAAAGCTTTCTAGGCCCTTTCCAACTGTATAATTCTATGATTCTGTAAATCTGCCAAGCATTCAAGACCTTCAAGGAAAAGATACAGACTTTGCAGACTCACCGTGCACTTTCAAAGTTACGGTAGTTTCCTGAAATAACGCATTTCCGTTGCTTGCATATCCAGATACCCTGTAATCTCCAGCATCATCTTGCTGCAATTTGTGTATAATGAGACTACCATTGGACAGTTGTTTGCATTTTTCTGTGTAGTTCTTTCCTGTATTCGGTGGAATACATCTCACTACCTTTGGTTTATTACTGGTTAGCTTAAACCATTTAAAGATGGAAGGTGTTCCTTCGTAATCGGGATTAGGCAGAAGAACTGACCGACCCAGAAGACCATGAATTTCTTTCCCAGCTGTAGTGCCTGCAGAAAAAAACATACACACAGAGAGATAAACAGGGACTTTTACACACTTTCCATCTTAGACTTCATTTGGAGATGCTACTGATCAGGGATGTTGGCAAGTCTCTGGGTCCGCAAGTATGATTCCCTATTCAAAACAAGTTTTTTTCCACCCAGAAAATAAAAGGAAAGGTGTTTGGGTTCCAACTCACAAGTCAAGTCTGAGACATTAAAAAACAGAAAGAAGGAACCAAGTCGATTCCAAGGTGG